ACCTTGTGATCCACCCGCCTCAGCCTCCCAAAGTACTGGGATTACAGGTGTGAGCCACTGCGCCCAGCCACAGGTTGATTTTTAACAAAGTTATTGTTGAATATAGTTATTGTCAAGGGAAAAATAAATATCCATGGTATACCGTTAATGAATAACAACTGTAAGACTTAAAGTTTGGAAACATTATTAAATATATACCTGCATCATTGGCATCATCAAGTTTGGGAATTCCCTTGATTCTGTTATGTTTTACAGCTGAACATTTCTTGTTTAACTGGACTTGGGCCTTAAACTTCACCCAGTTTAGTATGCTTTCTACAATACCACAGCCAATTGCCTGAAAATGAGAAGATTCATATTAGGGAAGAAGGGTTCTGTCAGAAACCTAGAATACAAATGAACCTTAATAAAAATAAAAATAAGCTGTGTAAGGTGGATCACCTGTAATCCCAGCACTTTGGAAGGCCAAGGCAGGCAGATCACGAGGTCAGGAGTTTCAGACCAGCCTGACCAACATGGTGAAACCCCATCTCTATTAAAAAAATATATATTAAAAAAAAAAAAAAAAGGTAGGTATGGTGGCACGTGCCTGTAATACCAAGCTACTCAGGAGGCTGAGGCAGGAGAATTGCTTGAACCTGGGAGGCAGAGATCACACCATTGCACTCTAGCCTGGGCTACAGAGCCAGACTTTGTCTCAAAATAAATAAATAAATAAATAAATAAATAAATAAAAAGATGTAGAACAATAATTTCTGGATAGAGGGTGGCACATCTTCCATGTCAGGTTATCACCACTGAAGGAGCAGTTCCTTTGGTTCATTCACTCAATAAATATTTACTATGTACTTATATTGTGCTAGCACTGAGCTACTTGTTGGAGACATGGTAGTTAAAACAAATTAGGCCAGGCATGGTGGCTCATGCCTATAATCCCAGCACTTTAGAAAGCCGAGGTGGGAGGATCACCTGAGGCCAGGAATTTGAGACCAGCCTGGCCAACATGGCGAAACCCCATCTCTACTAAAAATACAAAATTAGCCAGCATGGTGGTGGGCACCTGTAATTCCAACTATTCAGGAGGCTGAGGCAGGAGAATTGCTTGAACTCTGGAGGAAGAGGTTGCAGGGAGCCTAGATGGTGCCATTACACTCTAGCCTGGGTGACAAAAGGGAAACTCCGTCTCAAAAAAAAAAAAAAAAAAAAAAAAAAAATTGGCCAGCCATGGTGGTGTGGGATGCCTGCAATCCCAACTGCTTGGGAGGCTGAGGCAGGAGAACTGCATGAACCTGGGAGGTGGAGGTTGCAGTAAGCTGCTGAGATCAAGCCACAGCACTCTAGCCTGGGCAATAGAGTGAGAAGCTATCTCAAAAAAAAAAAAAAAAAAATAAGTTTAACACACAACACAGAAGACACACATAGCTGGGCATGGTAGCTCATGCCTGTAATCCCAGCACTTTGGGAGGCTGAGGATGGTGGATCACATGAAGCCAGGAGTTCAAGACAAGCCTGGCCAGCATGGTGAAACCCTGTCTCTACTAAAAATACAAAAATTAGCTGGGTGTGATGCTGTGTGTCTATAATCCCAGCTACTCAGGAGACTGAGGCATGAGAATTGCTTGAACCTGGGAGGCAGAGGTTGCAGTGAGCCAGGATCACATCCCTGCACTGCAGCCTGGGCAAAAGAGCAAGACTCTGTCTCAAAAAAAGAAAGAAAAAGACCAGGCACAGTGGCTCTCACCTATAATCCCAACGGTTTGTGAGGCCGAGACAGGTGGATCATTTGAGGTCAGGAGTTTGAGACCAGCCTGACCAACATGGTGAAATCATCTACTAAAAGTACAAAAAAAAAAAGAAAAAAAGCCAAGCATGGTGGCCCACACCTGTAATCTCAGCTACTCAGGAGGCTGAGGCAGGAGAATCACCTGAACCCAGGAGGTGGAGGTTGCAGTCAGCTGAGATCACTGCCACTGCATTCCAGCCTGGGTGACAGAGCCAGACTCTGCCTAAAACAGACAGACATAAAATAAGTTACGGTGTTATAAGTGTAACGGGTAACAAAAAGTTTGCTACATGACAATAAGGTATGCTCAATATCATATTGGGAACAATTTTGCTGGGGGTAGGGTAAAAAGTAAAGGTTTTCCTGAGGAAAGGACAAGATCTAAAGTAGTTAGCCAGGTGAAAAGGATGTATTTCAGGCAGAGGGATTAGCATGTGAATAAGCTCTAGGGAGGGGAAGAGCACCATGCTTTTCAGAAATTTAAAAAGCAACAGGACAATACAGGAAAAAGTGGCACTGAGATGAGTTGGAGAAGTTTGTGTAATTAGATTAAAGCAGATCTTTCTTGTTAGCCAAATTATGGAATTTGGACTTTCCCTGAGTGAGTCATTGAAAGATTTCAAATTAAGAGTGAAGAGACAGAAATGTGTGCTGTAACACAAAAAGGTCACTTGGGCCGGGCGCGGTGGCTCAAGCCTGTAATCCCAGCACTTTGGGAGGCCGAGGCGGGTGGATCACGAGGTCAAGAGATCAAGACCATCCTGGCCAACATGGTGAAACCCCGTCTCTACTAAAAATACAAAAAATTAGCTGGGCATGGTGGCACACACCTGTAATCCCAGCTACTCAGGAGGCTGAGGCAGGAGAATTGCCTGAACCCAGGAGGCGGAGGTTTCGGTGAGCTGAGATCGCGCCATTGCACTTTAGCCTGGGTAACAAGAGCGAAACTCCATCTCAAAAAAAAAAAAAAAAAGTCACTCAAAAGCATTGCAAGGAAAGGACTTAACTAGTTGGAAGGTTAAGAACCTATTATAGCCGGGCGTGGTGGCTCAAGCCTGTAATCCCAGCACTTTGGGAGGCCGAGGCGGGTGGATCACGAGGTCGAGAGATCGAGACCATCCTGGTCAACATGGTGAAACCCCGTCTCTACTAAAAAATACAAAAAATTAGTTGGTCGTGGTGGTGCGTGCCTGTAATCCCAGCTACTCGGGAGGCTGAGGCAGGAGAATTGCCTGAACCCAGGAAGCGGAGGTTGTGGTAAGCCGAGATCGCGCCATTGCACTCCAGCCTGGGTAACGAGAGTGAAACTCCATCTCTTAAAAAAAAAAAAAAAAAAAAAAAAAGAACCTATTATAGTAAACAAAAAAAGAGATAATGATGTGGCTTCAGAGATGATTGTTATTGACTGGATAAAGAGAAGGCTCCCAGTTATCTTGTTTATACAACCTAGAGCTTGGTTGGGGCTTTTTACTAAGATACGAAGTTTCTTCTTTATTGGAGGGTGAGGAGCTGCGTGTACTGGCAAGTCAGTGAGTATGGAGTTAACTAATTCAGTTTTGGATGTGTTGACTGAGGGCAAATCTTAAGGCATTTAAAGTGAGGGTGTTTAGCAGCTGGATTAATTCAAAAGTGAGCTAAGCTTAATGGTGATATGTAATTGGGAAATAGTAAAATATAGACAGTAATTAAGTCCTTAGTAAAATCAGTTAAAAAAACCCCATTGTTTACTTCCTTTTCAGACTGGAAGACTCAGAGAAGTGCACTGTGGGAAGACTCTTTGTTTCTGCAGAGCTGAGACGCACAGTGGAAAATAAAGTCAGACGCTTTTATTTTTATTTCCCTCTAAGTACTCACAGCTTTGATAAATTTTTCACTTAAATGGCATGTTGATCCAAAGCTCTTTGGCTGTAAAGTCATATTTTCTTTTGTCTGAGAGTCAAAGGTTGGGTTTTCAATTAAGGCATTTACAAATATCCACATGTGATTTTTCACCTGCAATAAAAGTTGATATTAAGTTACTAAAAATGTATTCATGCTTTATTCATAGCCTTTCTCTTCTTCCTTGACTTTAGAAGAAGAAAACTGCCAAAAGCACATACCTGATGTGCTTTTACTGCAACACCACCCTTGTTCTTCTTCTTCACTACATCAACAAGTTTAGTCACAATCTGATCAGCTACATAATCAACATGTCTGCCACCCTAATAAGGAAAAACACCAAACTGTAAAACTCAGTATCCTCAAAATTTTAATAATCAAACATTAAAAAAAACAACTAATTTAGCCTCCTTTATACCAAGCTAGCCCAATATTCAAGTCTACTTTATATATTAAAAACAATAAGAACACCTATATGTAAAGATAAATCATGATCAATAATTCAAGAATAAAATTACCTTGGAAGTAGCAATGCTGTTGACAAAGCTAATTTGCTGAAAACCTTTTTCACTCATTGTTAAACACACTTCCCACCTGTGATTTACTTGTTCATGTACTACTTTCAGTGGGTTACCAGTTTCATCCAACTTGTCCTTCAAATACATGTCCACATAACTACGAAATCCTTTTACCTGTAGAAGAATTAAAGTATTAAAAAAGTATTAAAAAATATCTGAAGATAGCATCAGATTAAAAAAATAGGTTGAAGGCTGGGTGCGGTGGCTCACGCCTGTAATCCCAGCACTTTGGGAGGCCGAGGCAGGTGGATCACGAGGTCAAGAGATTGAGGCCATCCTGGTCAACGTGGTGAAACCCGTCTCTACTAAAAATACAAAAAAGTAGCTGGGCATGGTGGTGCACGCCTATAGTCCCAGCTACTAGGGAGGCTGAGGCAGAAGAACTGCTTGAACCAGGAGGCGGAGGTTGCAGTGAGCCGAGATGGCGCCATTGCACTCCAGCCTGGGTAACAAGAGTGAGACTCCGTCTCAAAAAAAAAAAAAAAAAAAAAATAGGTTGAATGACAGACTATGAGGACTTTTCAAAACCAATGCAAGGATGTTCACTGATAGGCTTAAGAGAATGGTCATTAAAGAAAGACACAGGCCAAGGTGGGTGGCTCACTTGAGCCCAGGAGTTCAAGACCAGCCTGGGCAACACAGCGAGATACCCATCTCTGTTAAAAAAAAAAAAAAAAAATTAGCTGGGCATGGTGGTGCTGCCTGTATTTCTAGCTACTCCAGAAGCTGAAGTGGGATGATTAATTGAGCCTGGGAGGTGGAGGCTGTAGTGAGCCGTGATTGCATCACCGTACTCCTGCCTGGGTGATAGAGCAAGAGGCTATCAAGAAAAGAACAAAAAGGTAAAATAAATAAACAAAAAAAGGACATGAAAATATTTTAGGTGTTTCTTTGAGAAAGAAATTCCTTCAGTAAATTTAAAATGAGATGATTAAAAAATGTGGCATACCGGTTGGGCGAGGTGGCTCATGCCTGTAATCCCAGCATTTTGGGAGGATGAGGAGGGTAGATCACCTGAGGTCAGGAGTTCAAAACCAGTCTGGCCAACATGGTAAAACCCTGTCTCTACTAAAAATACAAAAATTAGCCAGGCACGGTCGTGGGTGAGTGTAATCCCAGCTTCTCGAGAGGCTGAGGCAGGAGAGTTGCTTGAAACTGGGAGGTGGAGGTTGCAGTGAGTCGAGGTCGAGGCACTGCACTCCAGCGTGGGTGACAGAGCAAGACTCCGTCTAAAAAAAAAAAAAAAAAAGAAAAAGAAAATGTGGCATAACATTCTCTTTTCAGGAACGTATGTGATAAGTGGTAAGAAATATATATGGGATGGGCCAAGCACGGTGGCTCATGCCTATAATCCCAGCACATTGGGAGGCTGAGATGGTTAGATCACCTGAGGCCAGGAGTTCGAAACCAGCCTGGTCAATATGGTGAAACCCGTCTCTACTAAAAATACAAAAATTAGCCAGGCACGGTGGTGGGTGCCTGTAATCCCAGCTACTGGGATTCTCCTGCTGAAGCAGGAGAATCGCTTGAACCTGGGAGGCAGAGGTTGCAGTGAGCCGAGATCGCACCACACCACTATTCCAGCCTAGGCAACAGTGCGAGACTCTGTCACACACACACACACAGACACACAGACACACACACACACACACACACACACACACACAAATATATATATATGGGAGGGGGAAAAAATCAATTTTGTACTTGACAATGATTACAAAGTCCCTTGTTATCCTTATATCCAGGAAAATACTCACTGGCAGTTTATTTCCATTAAGAAAGACTTTGACATCTTTGGTGGATCCAGCAATATCATATGCTCTTCTGACCATTAGTGCAACAATATCTTTGTCTAGGCTTTGCATTTTAAACTTAGACAAATCAGGCTGAAAGGTGATACATGTATAATCTTCTCCATTAAAGGGCTTGAGTTCCATCTCACCAGCTCTCCCCATATTATCCATCCATGTCTATGGAAGTAAAGAATAGGAAAGATAAAAAATTCAAGTCATCTCACAAACTACTAGTAACTAACATAAATTTATGAGTCCTAACAACATAATATATGTCTATGAATAATTTTCCATGCTTATAAATTATGTTAAATTAAACCAACCATTAATGCCATTATAAATGGCTATAGTACTACTATTTATCATTAAGGTAAAAGACACCTATTTACTTGCCTGTTTGAACATTTTCTTGTATTCTCTACAGGCTGTTTCCACAGTAAATTTGGTACTGAATATGTTACACAATTTGGCTCCATAGCCATTTCGACCACCTGGGCAAATAAATATGAGACACTATTTTATTGTTATTATCTCATTGACAGCTTTATTTCCTAATCACTGGCAGAGGTATTCAATTATAGAGATTTACTTCCATATTTTTAACCCTCATGCCACAGATAGTTATTTTAAAAATATATATTTTTAGCAACAAATATGTTATTTCCCCTCAATACTCTACCTGTCACTTTCTTTTCATCATCATCATAGTTACTAGAAGTTAGGAGCTGTCCAAATATGAGAGCTGGGACATACATCTTTTCAACTTTGTGTTCAACAACAGGAATACCTTTTCCATTATTCCATATACTAATTAAATTGTTTTCCCTAAGAAAACAAGATTGAAAATTGTACTGTACAACACATTAAATGAATGCTTAACATTTAAAAATATTTAAATACGATTATTTCTAAAATATGTATATTCAGGCTGGGCACAGTGGCTTACGCCTGTAATCACTTTGGGAGGCTGAGGAAGGCGGATCACTTGAGGCCAGAAGTTCTGGCCAACATGGTACAACCCTGTCTCTACTAAAAGCACAAAAATTAGCCAGTCATGGTGGTGTGCGCCTAATTCCAGCTACTTGGGAGGCTAAGGCAGGAGAATTGCTCAAAGTGTTGGGATTATAGATGTGAGCCACCACACCCAGCCCTCAATTTCTTTGACTCTTTTCATATATACCTTCTGAAATTCAGCATGAACTACATTTCCCACCATGCTTAGTTCCTGACATTCCTGAAATAGAAGTCAAGAGGAAAAAAAAAATCTTTTCCAATACCTGTGTAGACACTGATAATGTTGAAAAAATATAAAATTTTAAAATGTTAGGATAAACAAAGGGAAATGATTTATGCCCAATGGAAAGAAAAGGACAATCTGGAAACATTATTATACATCGCTCCCACTCTGTTTTTGAGACAACATCTTGCTCTGTCACTCACTGGAGAGCAATGACAGGATCACAGCTCACTGGAGGCTTGACCTCCTGGGCTCAAGCAATCCTCTCACTTTAGCCTCCCAAATAGCTGCATGCACCACCACACCTGGCTAATTTTTAAATTTTTTATAGAGATGAGGGTTGTTGCCCAGGCTGTTCTCAAACTACTCCTGGGCTCAACTGATCCTCTCACATTGGCTTCCCAAGGTGCTGGAATTACAGGAGTGAGCTACCATGCCTACTATACCCCTTTTAAGAGGATCATCTATATATCTCTTGTCCCCACTTAACAAAGTACATTGCAAAACAAATACAAAATAGAAAAACAGTATCAATCATAAACTGCCTTGCTCTGAAATAAAATGCTGAAAACTTGTTTGGACTTATTTATTTCAGTTATTTTAAGTTAATTCTTGGATGGTAATATATTTTAGTTATAACTAGATATACATTATGGTTCTTATTCCAGAAAGTACTTATTACCTATAAAAATTAATTAAAACTAGCTCAACGTTTTTTAAAGACTATGACATTGAGTTCTTAGGAAAATCCATGTATACTTTGTCATAATTAATCAGACTAACAACCACAAAAAAGCAACATAAGCACCCTGATCACTCACAAAGGGACACCCAGAAATGTTAGATCAAATTATTCTCTACCACCACCTACTGGTTTACTGTTTGAATAGCATCCTGAGAAAAAAGTTAAAACTCCAGATGCCAGAATACTTAAAGAAACAACTGAAGATGCTTGCTCAAATATTTAGGGATTAGGTGTCATAATGTCTGTAATTTATTTTGAAATGATCCAGAGAAAATAGGCCAGCGGCCATGGCATACACTTATGATGCCAACACTGGAGGACTGCCTGAGGCCAGGCAACAAAGGGAGACCCTCTAAAAAAAAAAAATTAACTAAGATAAGAAAAAAGAAAAACAAAAGTAAAAAACAAACAAATGAATTAACTAATTAAAAAGATGGACAAAATGTAGAAAAATGTTGACAACTGTTGGATCTAAGTGGTAGGTATCCATAGGTTTTTCATTTTAGCATTCTGCTTGTGTGTACTTTTGTGAACTTCTGTTTAAAAAAAGTCAACTTCACCAGTAATCAAAATACATGCAACTAAAATAGCAAACATAACAAACAAAAGCTAAGCAAAAGACGTACGGATCGATTGTGACTCTAATACAAGACATTTTTGGGTCCCTTTGTTTGTTGTCCGCAGCATTAACTGGAAGAAAATAAAACACACATTTGCAAGAAATTAGTGTTTTAAAAAACATTCTATAACTCTAAGTAAGATATAGAAAAGAAGTTCCCAACAGTACAAGAGTGGCATTAATAAGCTGTTAATTTAGCAATTTTTGTTCATAGTACTGTTTCCAGGAGAAAGCTCAACTTCCTGGGCTCCAGGAAACGACCTCACCTTTGTTAACTAATTGAATGACAGGAGCCCTGGCTACAGCAGGCTTGGTAGAAATTATACATACATATATATATATATATATATATATATATATATATATATATACACACACATTTTTTTTACCTTTTTTTTTTTTTTAAGATGGAGTCTCACTTTGTAGCCCAGGCTGGAGTGCAGTGGCGCAATCTCAGCTCACTGCAACCTCTGCCTCCCAGGTCTGGTTCAAGCAATTCTGCTACCTCAGTGTCCCAAGTAGCTGGGATTACAGGCAGGAGCCACCATGCCTAGCTAATTTTTGTATTTTTTAGTAGAGACTAGGTTTCACCATGATTGCCAGTCTTGTCTTTGGAACTCCTGACCTCATGATCTGCCTACCTAGGACTCCCAAAGTGCTGGGATTACAGGCATGAGCCACTGCGGCCTGGCCTTTTTTTGATTTTTATTTGAAATGATATTTCTTAGGAAAGATTTGACCAAGAGATCTTTAAAGGATTTACTCACCTAGAATCTCATCAAAGATTTTGTACAAACCAGGAACAAAAGTGACTTCCCTATAGTTAATGCCAACATCTTCATCGTAAACCCACATTTGCTAGAAATAAGGCAAAGAAATACTGTTATTTTTACTCTATATTCGTTGTTCTGTCATGATTACCGTAAAGTCTTCCGTATTAAATATTACCATATTTAGGCCAGTTCCAGTGACACTCAGTACATGAGAGCTACAGAAAGGTCAGCTGGAACAGCATCCATTTCAACTGCTAGGTGATCGCCTTTGATAAGCTTGATTTTACCTGGGTCACTAATTCCACAGAGCCAATATAAGTGTCCGGGCGGAGCAAAATATGCTCCAATTGTGTTTTCTTTTGATAGATTCTTTCAACAGACAGTCTTTTCTTAGCATCTTCATTTTTCTTTATTTTGTTGACTTGCATATTCTCATTTACAGGCTAGCAATTAAAAGAGAGAGAGAGAGAGAGAGAGAGAGAGAGAGAGAGAGAGAAGGGGATTTTTAATCATAAGTCTACCCAAAACTAGGGACGAAACGTTAACACGTGTTGTCATCTGTTAGGAGGTGGCGGTGGGGTTGACAGTTTCGTACGAAGAGGACAGTTGAAATGAGCAGGACCGCGTCCCCAGGTGTCAGGTCACACACACGCATCGTCTCACCCAGCGGGTCGGTCTGCCTGGAAACCTCTTTTCTCGAGCAACGTGGTAGATGTCGCCCATCAAACACACCCACCGCTCTGGGCTCCTGCATGCATTAGTGACCGAGGGCCTGCGATGGGAAACGATTCACGGTGTCGCGAGCACACGGCAGAGTCCAGCTCGGCAGCGGCAGTTCGGGCGACCCCGCGGCCGCAGGAGGGGTCTGAGCTCGGGAAGGCGGCGCTTTGGGCGGCCGGCCGGCTGCTCCGGGGCACGCTGGGCCAGGCTCTGCCCCTTCCAAGATCGGAGACGTTCAGGGCCGTTTGCACGCAGCGGGCAGGGCGGGGGGAAGGCGTCTGGACGCGCGACTCGGGAACGCCGCGCCCGGGGCGCTGCAGCGGGGATCCGCGACGGGACCCGCGGGATGCCGCCCCCAGAAACGGCGCGGCCACGCCACGCACCCGGGACGCCGGGTTAGCACACACGCGTCCCTGCCGGCACCGTGAAGGGCTTCCGCCTCTCCGCGACCGCCCCGGCACCGCAGCCCCGGAGCTTCAACCGTCACCGGCGGCCAGAGAAATGTCCCGGGCCGAGCTGAGGCCCACCACCGCCAGTCCCTCCCACGAGCCGTACCTGCAATGGTGACACTTCCATGGTGACGGTCGGGAAGGGGCTCGAGAACCCCGAAAGCGACCAAACCGGCAGGACCCACGAGACGACCCCAGACCAAGCCGCCCCTCCACAGACGCCCGTCGGTTAGGAGCGCTCCACTTGAACTTTCCTTTAGCCCGCCCGAAGCAGACAAGCCAATCCCTGACCGGCTCTCGCTGTCTCTGTCCAGAAGAACCAATCGTAGCTGGTCTTTTATATCCACCTATCAACGGCTGAGTTGGTCAGGCGTTTGTTCGAATAAACCAATCAAGTAAGGGAGGCGGGACCAGAGAGATTTCAAAATGCACCACTGGGCGTCGTAGCGGAGAGACTGACAGGGAATCTGGCTAATAATGAGGACTCGTTTGTTTTCTCTGGCGGAAATCTCGGCGAGCCCAGCCTTGGAAACGGGAAGGGGTTCCTGAGGCAGAAGTGTCCAGGTGAAAAAGCAAAGGATGTTTATTCTCCAGGAGCTGCCAGTCTATTTAAGAGTTCTGAGATCTAAAAACGGTTCTGTGTTCTGAGATTGCTAGGGAGGGGAATGGGAGCCTTAGCTTCGTTTTCCTGAGGAAACTCGGTGCCGGCTTTCTAGACCGGCCGCCTGGCCACTTGGTTGAAGCGGACAGGTTCCGGCGTCTGCCCGAACCCCGCCCCCTCCCCCCTCAGAGAAAGGAAAGGAAGGCGGGAGCTGTGGCTGTGATGCCAGCACTTTGAGAGGCCGAGGTGGGTGGATCACGAGGTCAGGAGTTCAAGACCAGCCTGGCCAAATTGGTGAAACCCCCGTCTCTAGTAAAAATGCAAAAATTAGCCGGCCGTGCACGGCAGGCGCCTGTAATCCCGGCTACTCCTGCTGCGGCAGGAGAATCGCTAGAACCCAGGAGGCGGAGGTTGCAGTGAGTCGAGATGGCGCCACTGCACTCCAGCCTGGGCGACAGAGTGAGACTCCGTCTTAAAAAAGAAAGAGGCCGGGCGCGGTGGCTCACGCCTGTAATCCCAGCACTTTGGGAGGCCGAGGCGGGTGGATCACGAGGTCAAGACATCGAGACCATCCTGGTCAACATGGTGAAACCCCGTCTCTACTAAAAATACAAAAAATTAGCTGGGCATGGTGGCAGGTGCCTGTAATCCCAGCTACTCAGGAGGCTGAGGCAGGAGAATTGCTTGAACCCAGGAGGCGGAGGTTGCGGTGAGCCGAGATCGCGCCATTGCACTCCAGCCTGGGTAACGAGCGAAACTCCGTCTCAAAAACAAAAAACAAAAAAGAAAGAAATGAAAGTACGGTGTGTCCAGTGGCTGGCCTCTGTATTCAAGCTCATTGGGAGGCCGAGGTGGGAGGATCACGGGAGCCTAGGAGTTGGAGACCAGCCTGGGCAACATACCCAGACCCCATTTCTACCCAAAAAGAAAAAAAAATATCCAATAACCCCAGCTCTGGAGGCCGAGGAGGGAGGATCGCTTGAGCCCCAGAGCGTGCCAACACCTCAGGCTAATTTTTTTGGATCATTAGTAGAGCGGGGGTTTCCCCATGTTGGCCGGGCTGGTCTCGAACTTCTGACGGGCGCTGTGGCTCACGTCTGTAATTCCCCGCCGAGGCAGGCAGATCACCTGAGATCAGGAGTTTGAGCAGCCTGGCTAACACGGTGAAACCTCGCTCCTACTAAAAATACAAAATAATTAGCTGGGTGTGGTGGTGCGCGCCTGTAATCCCAGCTACTTGGGAGGCTGAAACAGGAGAATCTCTTAAACCCAGGAGGCAGAGGTTGCAGTGGGCCGAGATTGTACTATTGCACTCCAGCTTGGGCAACAAGAGCAAAACTCCATCTAAAATAAAATAAATAAATAAATAAATAAAAAATATATATTTTTAGTGCATTCATTGCCTGGCAAATAATAAGTGCTCGAGACATGTCAGCAATGACTATCTCTGCTCCTTTCCAGGATCTCCCTCCTCTGCTAGTCCCACAAATTCCTTCTCCAAAACCAGTTCAAAATTCTCCTCTCCAGGGAGTCTTCTCTGACAGTCTTTTAAATGGAACCTCCTCACGTTGCTCAGTGTATATTTGCATATGCGGATGAGTTCCTTTGACAAGTGTTCTTTGGTTGTTTTCTCCTGGGTGTTGTGTGTTCCCCTTCTTTCTGCTCTTTGGAGAGGGGAGGGAAGGTCCTGGAGGACAGTGTCCCCTTCATGGATCTGGAAGCTCCCCTAGAAAAAGCAGCATTTCTTCTCTTTTGCAGGCTCTCACAGCAGAAGGAGGCTACACTAAAAGTGTGGCTTTGGATTTGGGGTTTGGAGCTGGCTAGGCTGGAGCCCACTGGGAATTCCTGGATGAGGCTGGGCCAATGCCAGAGTACTCAGGTGGTTAGGGCTGGGCCAAGAAGCTCTGCTTACCTCGAGGCTGACAACTGGCAGGGTCTGGTCAGTTTATTTATTTTTATTTATTTATTTATTTTTACCAGGGATACCAGCCTCCAGTTGGAGGAGGCCAGGAAAACCCTAAATGTCCCGTAGAGCCCAGCCTCTAGGTGGCCCCTGGCAAATAAATGTGGACAAAGTTGGGAGGAGAGCAAGGGAGGTTACAGAGGGAAGCAGCTCAGGACCAGAGATTAGTAATCCCTAAATCTGCGCAGAAGTTCCCTATCCATCAAAAATTTAAAAATGTTCACACCCTGGCTGGGCACAGTGGCTCACGCCTGTAATCCCAGCACTTTGGAAGGCAAGGTGGGCGGATCATGAGGTCAGGAGTTTGAGACCAGCCTGTCCAATATGGTGAAACCCCATTTCTACTAAAAAATACAAAAATTAGCTGGGCGTGGTGGTGCATGCCTGTAATCCCAGCTACTCGGGAGGCTGAGGCAGGAGAATTGCTTGAACCTGGGAGGCGGGGGTTGCAGTGAGCTGAGATCATGCCAGCCTGAGCCACAGAGTGAGACTCCGTCTCAAACAAACAAAAAAAGCGAAGGAAATACTGTGTTGAGCATAATTCTATTTGGGTAAATAAAATTATATATACACGCATTGAGAATATCTGGAAGGAACTGTAAGGAGGTGGAGGGAAGGGAAGACTTCCTTTTTACTTTCTTTCTTTTTTTTCGAGACACCTCTGTTTAGTCTCAGCTCTGCTGCCCAGGCTGGAGTGTAGTGGCATGATCATGGCTCATTGCTGCCTCAAACTCCTGGGCTCAAACGATCTTCCTGCCTCAGCCTCCTGAGAAGCTGGGACTACAGGCCTGTGCCACCAAGCTTGGCTAATTAAAAAAATTTTTTTTTTTTGTAGAGACAACGTCTTGCTATGTTTCCCAGGCTGGTCTCAAACTTTTGGGCTCAAGTGGTCCTCCCAGTTCAGTCTCTCAAAGTGTTGGGATTACAGGCTTGAGCCACCACGCCCGGCCCTGGGCTGGCTTTTAGATCACTAAGTCCCACCTCCCCATTGTACAGATGGGAAAACTAAGGCCTAGAGCTGTAGATGACGGCAATGGGGCAGCAAGCTGACCTGGGGGATGGGGTGAGAAAACCAGTGATGCTTCTAATATGGTGGGGAATGGGGTCACCTGAACCTGTCACTGTCTCCCTTGCTCTGACATTCCACATAACGTCCTCGGGAGGCATTAGGGTGGGGCCCAAGAAGAGAGGAGTAGGACAGGGTGGAGTGCTGTGTACCTCTACCCGGTGTCCACCTGTTTCCCTGACCATTTCACTTTTTCAGGCTCTCTGCCTTCTCTCCCTCATCTATCTTATTTCTGTTTACTTGTTTGCCTGGGTAGGAGCTGGGTACTGAGGGGTACACGTCAGTGTGGCCTGAAAGAGCCTAATGAAACTCCCTTTCATTAGTGGGAGTCAGGGTGGGAGTGGGGGCAGGGAACCAGCATTCCAGGTAGCTGACCCCTGCCTTGGACTTTGGACTCAGAACCCAGGGGTCTGACTTGAGGAACTGCAGAAACCCATCCTCCAGTCCATTGCCCTTAGAGGGCTCTTGGCTGCTGCTAGGAACAAGCCTGATGGGTAGATGTGGGCCCTGAGACTTGGTCAAGCTTGACGGCTACTACCTCATTCCTTCCTCTGAAGAATGAACAAATGAATGAATGCATGGAGAGGAGGAGTTTAGACTGGGATCTTTGATTTCATATCTGTTTCTAAGTATCTCCCATCAGCCGGGCGAGGTGGCTCATGCCTGTAATCCCAGCACTTTGAGAGGCCAAGGTGGGTGGATCACCAGGTCAAGAGTTCAAGACCAGCCTGGCCAAGATGGTGAAACCCTGCCTGTACTAAAAATACAAAAATTAGTTGGGTGTGGTGGCGCATCCCTGTAGTCCCCGTTACTCGGGAGGCTGAGGCAGGAGAATTGCTTGAACCCAGGGGCAGAGGTTACAATGAGCTGAGATTGTGCCACTGCACTCCAGCCTGGGTGACAGAGAGAGACTGTGAGCCACCATCCCCGGCCTTATTTATTTATTTATTGAGATGGAGTTTCACTCTTGTTGCCCAGGCTGGGCAAAAAAAAAAACCTCTCCCATCTCTCCAAGGTTTTCATTTCGTCACATCTATTCCCCCTTCTCTGCCTTTCCGTGTCTCTGTCCTATTCTTTGTTTCAGCTCCTCCCTCTCTTGGTCTTCCCCTTGCTAGTACTCCCTCCTCTTCTCTCTACCTCTAAATTGTCATAGAATCTTAGCATCAAAAGAGACCCAAGAGAGTCATAATAAGAATACCATCAATTTGTAAGCTGCTTTCTGGTATATAAGCCTTTCATTTTTATAGACAGCCTTATTTGATTCTCCTTAACAATCCCCCAGAGTGAAGTAGAAAATAGCATCCCCAATTTACAGATAAGGAAACTGAGGTCCACAGTGGTGAAGAGACAGGCCCACAGCTAATATGGGCACAGCTGGGCTTTGAACCCTGGCTTCCACTGTGAGACCAGTGCAGACTGCCCCCCAGTTTGCACATCAAGCTGGGAGCAAAGCTCTTTTCCATTTCAGGCTGTCTGGCTTTCCCTTGGCTTGGGGCCCGGCTTCTGCTGCTCTTTAGAGCATCGTGCCTGGGTGAGGGTAAGGAACAGCCTGCACAGATCTTGAGGATTACTGGCTCCAAACATCAAATCTCTGGAAATGGCTCGGGCCACGGGAGTGAA